TGGGAGATTCACTCGTGTGGTTGCATGGAGCTGGAGTGCATCCTTTTACTGTCCTGTGTAGTAGTCCATCCTAGAAACTGCCAGAAAGTATTTATCGATTCTCCTATTGAGGGCATTTGGGTGATTTCCAGTTTGGGGCTCTGATGGATGAAGCTGCTGAGAACATCCTTGTCTGTGTCCTTTTCTCTGTGGACCCATTTCTCTTGGGTGAGTACTGAGGAGAGGGATCCCTTGGTTATGGTAGACGTATGTTCAGACATAGGTACCTCCTCCCACCAGCAACACATGTGAGTGCAAGGAGGTTTTTAAAACTAGAATTCTATTCTGACCCTCCCCTGTCCCCAGACTCTCCATGGCTCCCCATTGCCCTCAGAGTAAAGCCCGCACACGTCACTGTGACCCACAAGGACCTACGTGATCCGACCCCACAGTCCTCCCACCACCACTCCCCTCCCCCTTGCCACTTTGTCCAGCCACACAAACTTCTTTGATTTTTTTCAAAATGCCAAGCTCCTGATCACCAGGAACACCCTTCCTCCAGGTCTCCCACCCCTGACTTGTCCCCTCCTTGCCTGTCTCTCTCGCATTCAGGTCTCAGCTCAAGTGTCACCTCTTCAGAGAGGTCTTCCTTGAAGACCTAGCCTGACACCGTCCCTTTGGTGGTCAGGATTTCTCTCTCTCTTTTTTTTTTTTTTGAGGAAGATTAGCCCTGAGCTAACTGCTGCCGCCAATCCTCTTCTTTTTCCTGAGAAAGCCTGGCCCTGAGCTAACATCTGTGCTCATCTTCCTCTACTTTATACGTGGGACGCCTACCACAGCATGGCGTGCCAAGCGGTGCCATGTCCGCACCCAGGATCGGAACCGGTGAACCCCGGGCCGCCGAAGCGGAACGTGCGGACTTAACCACTGTGCCACCGGGCAGGCCCCAGGATTTCTCTCTTTTTGGACTCAGGTTTTGACACACAGGAGTTTCATAAAAGTGACTTGGGCAGCTCCCTTCGTTTTCAAAGGTCTGAGTTAGTTGAAATAACATTGGACTTTCCCAAGCATAGAGGTTTGATGAAACAGCGGTGAGCCCTCTGGGCCTGTGCCTTCTTCGTGGCAGGTCTCTTTTCTAATCTGTGTTCACTGGTCTGCTCAAGCTTTCAACTTCTTTTGAGGTCAGTTTCTCTCAGTAGTTGGCACATGGCTGATACTTAATAAATGCCAGGATGAGGGTGCAGAGAACGGAGTGGGAGGAGCTGGACTCCTGGCTTCAAGTGCCCACCCCCTACCATCTGCTCAGGCCCCCATCCAGCCTCTCCATTGAGGCCTGACTACATGCTTCCTCCTCTGAGATGCCCTCTTGGATTTCTCCTAATTCTTCTTCCTTCTCCGTTCCCTGGTCGATGAGTCCATCTCTCTGCTGGGCAGATGGCACAAGATGGACATTGGGTGGGCGGGAAATGTGTGCACAGAAGAGGCCTCCCCAAACCTCAGCCTCCCCCCTCATGCCCAGCACACTCAGCATGTGCCGCCACCTCCCCCCAGCAGTTCCGATCACGCCAACATCTGGAGAACGGGCCACCGGCTCTGTCTGCGGCTCGGGGTGGGGATTTGCATGTGAGTACAAATATATATGCACACCCTGGGCCTTCCGCCTCCGCGTTCCTTGGCTGGCTCTTCACACCTGGGCCCGAGACAGGTCAACGCTGAGTGGCTGGATTTGCATGCGCGTGTATTTCTGGGTAGGGAGTCAGCTGGGGGAGTCTGAGAGGAAGTTGTTGAGGGAAGCTGGGGGTAGTTCAAATGTGTCTCTCTTGACCTGCTCCATTCACCACATCTCCCCAGCCACCTCTGTGTCTGGTCCTGAGGTGCTTCCAGTCTGGGGAGACAGAGCTGAATATACACACTCACAACCTCATGGGGTCAGAACTGGAGGGGAAGGACTGTGGGAGTCCAGAGTGAGGTCAGGGAGGGCTTCCTGGAGGAATGGGTTTTTTGAGCTGGGTTTTGAAGTGTGAATAGGAGGCCAGGTGAAGAAGGGACAAAAGGGCTTTCCAGACAGAGACATTTTGTTGAAGGTAGAGAAAGATGGGCAGGGGCTGATTGGGGCAGGGCCTGGAATGTCAGACTGGAGACTGGAACTTTCTTCTGAGGGCAGTAGGGAGCCATGGAGAGTGTGTGAGCAGGAAGGGGCATGATCAGAGCTGTGTTGAGCAGATCCCTGAAGGGCTAGAGCTGGGGATGACTTTGGGTCTTGGGCGGGGATTCGGGGTTCCAGGGTTAGAAGGTCATCAGGGGTTAGAAGAGTCAAACCCCTGTGTGAGCCCATCTGCCCCTGTCAGGCCTGGCCCAGAGATGGCAGGGGATCTGGTGGCTTCTGGAGGACCCAAAGAGCCAAGGAGTACAGTGACTTAAAGTGCATGACTAACACCCCCAGTTTCTTCCCAGAGGGACACAGCCCTGGCCTCCCCTCCAGTCTCCTGCCATCTCTACCCTAGCCCCCAACAGTTCTGCTCCCCATGGCAGCCATGGCCAAGTCTTTAAATGATGAATCAAACCCTCCTTGCTCAAAACCCTCCCATGCCTCTCTGTTGCTCTTAGACCAAACCCACAGACCCCAGCAACTCAGAGGGCCCAGAGTGGCCCTGCCCCCATGGCCTCTCCCCCCAGCCTCCTCACTCCAGCCTCTTTGCTGTGTCTCGTCCCTCCTCAGGGCCTTTGCACCTGCTGTTCATTCTGCCTGGAACTCACTTCCTGTCTTGGCACTTGGGTCTCAGTTCAGAGAGACGCCCCTGACCTTCTGGCTCTTGGGGCTCCCCCATTGTGTAAACTCTGCCCTAGCCGGGATGTCCTTGTCTAAAATGGGGACAGATGGAGAAGGGGCCAGAGTTGGATATTCCAGGCCCAGAGACTCATATCCAAGTCCCAGGTTCCCATGGGACCCCAGGCGTGGGGGGCGTTTCCGGAGTCATCCTGGCACTGGGACCTCCGGGCCAGTGCGCCTCTCCTGTCCCCAGGGAGCCGACAGGGAACAGCCGTGGGAACATGCCCGATTCCGGCCCAGGGTTAAAATTAGCCGTGCAGGTTAAATTTAGCTAGACAAGCTGGAGCTGGGGGGCCCGGGCGGGGGCTCCTGTTGGCCTGGGCTCTGCGTAGTTGTGACGGCTCAGAGACCCAGCCCAGAGAGGGTGGAGGGAGCACCTGGAGTCACAGAGTGGGCCGCATATGATAGCCGGGGCATCTCACACTGCTGGGCCCTGGGACTCTGGGATGATGGGGTTCCCGCCCAGACCCCTCGAGGTGGGGTCTAAGCAGGTGTGGCTCCTCCCGGAGACTAACCTACATCTCCCCACACTTCCTGAGAGCTCATTCCCGGGCCTTGGGCCAGGGGGTCTGCATTTCATGCCCACTCAGTTCACAGAACAGCAAACTGAGACCTAGGGACAGGCCTCCCTTACTGAGGACCGCACAGCGGGTCAGGGCTGGCTGGGACCCCAGCACAGGCCCACTTGGCCCCAGGCAGGCCTGTGACAGGGCCTCAGTCCCCTGTGACATGAGAGGGGCTGGAAGGTCAAATGTGGTCATAGGGTTGACGGGTCCCTAGGGTCTCAGGGTGGCTGTATGCACAGTGGGGCGGATGCCGCAGGACAGGCGGTGTGAGGCCTTCATTCTGAGGAGCCCTGCATAGGGCACTGGGGAGGGCCTGGGCCCCAGCATGCTGCATGCCTTGGGGACATACTGCCCTCCCTGAACTGCCCGTTCTGACCCTTGGGAACCCCGCCAGGGAGATCCAAGACCCATGTGAGGAGGGTCGGGGTTTCCCCCCAGTCACCCTGGGCCCAAACCCCAATCTGAGGGCTCTGAGCCTGAGGTCATTCCAGGGAAGTGGGGTAGGGATGGGGGTTCTGTTTTTCTTTTCCAAAAAAGTGTTTTCAAACAGAAATAATCTGTGATGACTGATGGAGGAAGGTTAGAAAATTGAGATAATCAAAAAGACACAAAGGACCACACAGGGTGTGATCTCATTTCTGAAATGTCCAGAACAGGCAAATCCACACAGACAGAAGCAGATCAGTGTTGCCAGGGGCTGGGGAGAGGGGTGGGAGTGAGTGCTCATGGGGACACGGTCTCCTTTTGGGGCGATGGAATATTCTGGAACTAGATAGAAGAGATAGTTGCACAACATCGTGAATGTACTAAATGCCACTGAAATGCACACTTCAGAATGGTAAATTTTATGTTATGTGAATTGCATCTCAGTGTTTTCAAAAAGGGAAAAAAAGTGCCCATACATTTCCATCCGGTGGTGACTCCCATCGAGCATTTCCTTCTGGTCGTTTTTCCACTCTCAGTGCAGTTATTTCATGTTTTCTTGTAAGCACAGCCCTCGATCTTGCTCTTCGGGGGGCATTGTGGCCTTGAATGCATTGAAAGGTGTCCGATGCCTGCAGCAGGCTCGCTGTCGGCGGCTCACGATCACTGAGCACTGCTGGGTGCCGGCAGAGGGTGTCCCTCCAACCTGTCCTGTTGAGGGCTTCTAGGCTGCAGCCAATATGCCTAATAGCAGCACATAGGTTGCACCTGCTGTGTGCTGTGGTGATGTGAATGCCTCATGCGTGTTAGCTCATTTTATCTCCTGACAACGTTGGGCGGTGAGTGACACTATTATCCACACTGCGACTGGGGGCCCAGGGAAGCCAGGCACCCCCGAGGTCCCACAATTATTGTCTTGTTTTGTGTTAGAGCTTGGGGAGGGGGCATCTGTACCTGGCTCTTTTGCCCTTGGTCAGCCTTCTCCTCGTGTGGAATTGGTCCAAAGGTGTTCATCGGGCATCTATTGCGTGCTGAGCTGGCTGAGGGTGAGGGTGATGGGGGTGACCCAGTGTTCCTTGATTTCACTCGTCATCTCCCCCTCAGTGCCTGGCAGGGGCAGGCGGAGGACAGAAGGGACGCTGGAGAGCCTGACCCCACTCTCCACCCAGCTGCTCTGTCCTTCTCTCCTTCTCCTCCGCCAGAACAAGGTTGCTCCACCTAGCCTGAGACAATGGGGAGGAAAAAAATCCAGATTTCACGCATTCTGGACCAAAGGAATCGGCAGGTGAGTTCGCTGGGTGGAGCAGCCGTTGATGGAGAGGTGTTCCTGGTCGGGGACAGCTCTGGGCAAAGGCCTGGCCGTTTGGGGGAACTGCAAGGGGATGAGGAATCTTGATGCGATGTCAGGAGTTTGAGATGTAGCATTTACTCATTTTCAGGATGATTTATTCATTTATTCTCTCTGATGACAGGAGCCCCAATCATAGGGGAGATGAAAGTGGACACAAACACACCCAACTCAGAGGGCTGGACCAGAGGGAGGAACAGAACTGGGGAAGCTCAGAGAGGGAGTGTGGGCTCTGCCTGGGAGGCCAAGGAAAACTTCCCAAAGGAGAGGACATTTGGGCTGGGTTTTGAAGCATCAATAGGAATTTGCCAGATTGAGACGTGAGGAGAAGCAGTACAGCCAGGAAGAACAGCACGTGCAAAGGCACAGAATCATGAGGTGTGCTCGGGGACCATTTAGGCTCCTCCTCCTCCCCCACACCACCCCAAAGCCTTGTCTTCTCCACCCTGCCCGTGGGTCCTGGGTCCAGGTGACATTTACCAAGCGGAAGTTCGGGCTGATGAAGAAAGCCTACGAGCTGAGCGTGCTCTGCGACTGTGAGATTGCCCTCATCATCTTCAACAGCGCCAACCGCCTCTTCCAGTACGCCAGCACAGACATGGACCGCGTGCTCCTCAAGTACACGGAGTACAGTGAGCCCCACGAGAGCCGCACCAACACCGACATCCTCGAGGTACCCTGGGGCCCTCCTCCCGGCCCTGGGAAGCCCAGCACACTCTGCCCACTAGAGCCCAGGGACTCTTGGTTTGCACAAAAGATGAGTGTTGCAATCTGGCTTTGCTGCCGGTAAAAGCAGGTGATAATCCAGGGGCAGCTGCCTGGATAGTAGAAATAAAAAAATCAACAATTGCGCTTTGAGGGCTGCCCCGTGTGCCCCTCATACATCATCTGCTTTAATCCTGTCACCCATTTGGTGAGGACAGAAACAGAGAAGCAAAGGCACCGGGAAGCAGGCCGACCTCGCTGAGGTCCGGGAGTGTTTTTGTCTGAGACGCTGTGTTCTCAGGAGAAGGAGGCTGAGCAGCCCCTGCACTGGCTGGTCCAGCACCCACACTGGCCACCAGGATGGGCGGGGTTGCCATCCCTTTGGCTGAGAGAATCTTTGCCCGGAACAGGATGCGACAGCCACAGGGCTGGAGAGAGCACAGGCCTAGGGCTGCGCCTAGGGGCCCCTAATATTTCAGGAGGGTGGGAAGAAGCTGGCAAAGGAGAGGCAGGGGTCAAGGAGGGTGCAGGTCCCTGGGCCCAGGGGGAAGGCAGCTCAGGAAAGCCTATAAAGTTGACCTCAGGCACTCTGTCTGCTGACATTTATGAAGCACCTCCTGCATGCCTGGCTTGGAGTCTGCTTGTCAGGGCAGAATGGAGGCTCCGAGTCGCATTCAGGAGGCGCATCAGGACAGCACCCAGTAGGCCTGGGTGGATCTTGAGCCCCGGCTATGTGACCTGGGTGGGTTCTTGGCTTCTCTGGTCCCAGGGCAGGAAGTCCCTCCCTTGCACACACTTGGAACTTACTAGATGGTAACTCACTGGGGGTTTTGGTGAATGGGGTTTGGCTGGAGCAGGCTGTGCCTGCACTCCACCCCAGTAACAGAACTGAGTCTTTCCCCTCTCCCATAAAACCAGGCTCCCTGGCTGGGGTAGGGAGGAAGGGTCCACGCTCTTGTCTCCCCTCCCCACAGACACTGAAGCGGAGGGGTGTGGGCCTCGATGGACCAGAGCTGGACCCAGATGAGGGGCCTGAGGGGCCAGGAGAGAAGCTGCGGAGGCTGGCAGGTGATGGGGGTGACCCAGCCTTGCCCCGACCCCGACTCTATGTAAGTGACTCCCTGCCCTGCCATGAATGGGGCCCACCCCCCACTTCCTAGGCCCAAGTGGTCAAGGCTGAGACTGAAAGAAGGACCTAAGGCCAGGAAGCCTAGAGTTTGGGGCAGGTCTCTGCCTGAGTGGGCAGGGAAGGCTTCCTGGAGGAGTAGGCATTGTTGTTGGGGCTTTGAAGGATGAATAAGAGTTCAACAGGTAGACAATTCCTTTTTTCTTTATTTCTTTATCAAACACCCTGAGAAGCCCCCTCAGTGCCAACCCCATGCTATGTAAGAAGCCTCAGCTCTGGACCTTGCTGTTGAGAAGCCACAGAGCCAGACACAGACTCCCCTAGCCATGTGGGGTTAGGCCAGAGGGAGGAGTAGGGAGGGCTTCCAGAAGGTGGAGGCTGGCCCCTGAACTCATGGGCATTTTATGTCTTGGACTTGATGCCCTCATTTCCACATTCCTCCAACCAATCCCGTTGTCTCTGCCCTCAGCCAGCAGCCCCAACTATGCCCAGCCCGGACATGGTCTATGGGGCCCTGCCCCCACCAGGCTGTGAACCCAGTGGGCTCGGAGAGGCCCTGTCCGCTCAGAGCCGCCCATCCCCCTTCAGGCCAGCAGCCCCCAAAGCGGGGCCCCCAGGTGAGCATGGGGCATAGGCCCTGGGGGAGGAGGGATGGGGCTCCCAGCGGGGCTGGCAGTGGGTCTTGGCTCGGGCACTACTTGGCGGTGTGCATTACCTCTGGGGCCCAGACTTCAGATGACATGGCCACCTGCCCTCTCTCTGGGGTTGTCCTGCTCCCCAGGCCTGGCACACCCTCTCTTCTCGCCGAGCCACCTCGCCAGCAAGACACCACCTCCCCTGTACCTGGCAGCGGACGGGCGGAGGCCAGACCTGCCTGGTGGCTTGGCCGGGGCCCGGGGGGGACTGAGTACCTCGGTGAGTGAGGGGAAGGTGTGGCAGGGCTGTTGGGGAGGGAGGGTGGTCTGGGTGTGGGCCTCAGTTTCCGCTTCGCCCTGTCTCCCCACAGAGAGGCCTCTATGGGAGCCTGCAGAGTCCAGGCTCCGCGGCAGCCCCAGGCCCTCCGCTCGGAAGCTTCCCCTTCCTCCCTGCAGGCCCCCCAGGTATGAGCCCCGACCGACCCTGCTGTGGGCGGCACCCATCCACGCACCTGCCTGCTGGGGGGTCCACATTCCCCCGCCCACCAGAACGGAAAACGGGCTGGTGGCGTAGGCCTCAGCTTATGCCTCCTGCCCCCCGCCCCCCAGAATATGGCCTGGGAGACCCTCCTCCACCCCCCGGCTTGCTGCAGCCCCCCACTCTGGCCCCCTGGCAGCCCTCGAGGGGTGATGGGCCCCCAGCCGGCCCCGCTCAGCCCAGGTAAGTACCCCGACTGTTCCCCCCTGCCTCCCCACCCCCGCCGCAGTCCGGGTCGACCGTGGGGCCCCTCCAAGTCTTCCGAAGCCCCTAGCCACTGCTGACCCCTGGTGGCCACCCCTGGTTCTGCACTCAGCTCCTCGCGACTGTTCCCAGTGGAGATGAGCAGCTATTTTGGAGGCCCCAAGGGGGACCGCCACCCCCTCCTTTCCCAAGGTCCTCCGGCCGAGCCTCTGCCCAGGCCGGGCCACCTCCCTGGCTTCCCTCCCGCCCGCCCTCGCGGAGCTCACGGCACCCTTCTCTCTCTCTTTCCCTCCCTCCCTCCAGCGGGGGCCGCAGCCTGGGCGAGGAGGGCCCCCCCACCCGCGGCGCCTCCCCACCAACGCCCCCAGTCAGCATCAAATCAGAGCGCCTCTCGCCCGCCCCCGGGGGCCCCGGCGACTTTCCCAAGGCCTTCCCCTACCCCTTGCTCCTGGCCCGGCCGCTGGCAGAGCCCCTACGGCCCGGGCCCCCCCTGCGCCGGCTGCCCACTGCTGACAGCTGGCCCCGGTAGTGGACCCAGCGTTGCACCGGCCCTGCCCCCCCATTCCAGGTGGGACGAGGCAACGTGGGGTCCCAACCTCCCTCCCCGCATCCTGAGAGAAGACCCAGCACTTACGAGCCCCTCCGGGGTGGGGCTCGGGAGGGGGAAGGCTGGGTTGGGATCCACGGTAGGGGGCTCCTTTCTCTCTTCCTGGGCGTGTATCCACCAATAAAACACGCGTGGCGTCCGTGGAAGAAACTGTCTGTCGCTGCGCAGAGCCATCCCCCACCCGGGTCCTCCCCTCTCTTCCCCAGCGGCCTCTCCAGAAGCCGCCCCTGAGAGGGGGACCCCAGGGCCGGTGGGGTGTCCGGGAGGACGGCGAGTAGGGGTGGGGACGTGAGGGGAGGAGCCCTGCAGGGGGCACCAACGAGCAGGTTACACCGTGGGGCGTGGGTGCTCAGCCCGCGGGGGTCCTTGGGGACCGCGCAGATCAGGCGCCTGGAGTGGTTGCACGTCAGGGACGAGGGGCTGGGCCGTTTACCCGCCAGCTCCTGGGGGTGTCGGGTGGTGGGCTCAAGGGGAAGCAGCCAGCCCGGGCGCCATCGCTTGCAGCAAGAAGCTAAGCTGTTCATCTTTTAAATGGGCGTATCCCTTGACCCCTTGACCCAGCAATTCCGTTCTACCGGAGGGAGGGGGGAGCCAGGGGTTTATCCATCCACTTCGGGGGGTGCAAACTCCCATGGCTCGAGCCTGTCCCGTGTGTAAGGGCCCACTTAGGGGTCCAGGAGCCAGAGGGAGCACCATGGGCTCATCCCGCGTCCAGCCACCCCCCCGCGGTGATCTCAGTGGGATCTTTATAACGCTCAGATCTGACCCCTGACTCAGCTGCCCCCACCCCACTCTGTCCCTGTCTCCCATGCTGGTCCTTGCTCCTGGACCACCTCCCTCAACCCCCAACTTGTCTCCTTTTTAGACTGCTTCCTACCCTCCAAGGCCCAACTCCATGTCCTCTCCTCCAGGAAGCCCTCTGCACTGCCCCCAGCTGAGAAACTAGCTCTGACTGCTAACTGAAGCAGACAAAGGGTTTGTTGAGTGGAGATCATGGGTTTGGACTGGAATGTGGAAAACATGGAGTGTCCGCATCAGCCCTTATGAGATTTGCCCCCTCCCCCACAGTCACTCTACCAAGATCCAAAGCTGACCAGTCCAGCTCAGCCAGGGGTGGGCAAGTCAGCTTGACCAACAGTTTCAAGACCTTTATCCACTCTTGTCACCCCAGCGCCCCGCAGAAGGGCTTTGTCAGTAAAACGCAGTGCCTTGATTCCACCATTATCGCACACTGCCCTAGATGGTAGATGCAGAGGTGAAGCGTGTGCGTCACCGGCTTCAACGTCAGTCCGGGGATTCCTTCCCTGGCGCCTCCCCTCCTCCGGTAGTCCTCCCTCCCCAGCCAAGACTTTGAGTGGACTCCTTTGAGGGGCAGGGGGAGAGGGCAAAAACTGTGAAGTGACAGACCTTTTTGTGAGGTGAGGGCACTCTTTTAAGTGGCTGTGCTTGGAGCACCATCCACATGCGAGACACAGGCTGGGGTTTGTCCTCCACGATCTTCCCAGTCTGCGACACCTTCATCTGCAGTGAAGTTGGGGCTTTGGGGCCCATTTTCTACGGGAGGAACAAGGCATGATCAAAGCTTATAAAGCTCCCCTCCCTGGGGCTTCTGTGGCAGGGGGTGGGGGCAGGGTCCAGGGCCAAGAGCAACAGGAGGCCAGGGGCATTGGAGGGATACTCCGTGGTGTGTTTGGGGGTAGAGCCACCAGGACCCCCAATGGCTTGGATGTGGGGGTAAAGGGAAGAGGATGCCGTGGGTGCCTCGCAGCCTTGACCTGGATGGGGGTGATGGGGGAGCCCCCTCCATGCAGGATGTGGGGTGAACTCAAGACCTCTGTAGAGTGTCAGAGTGAGGCTGGAGGGTTCTGTCAGACTCGGGTCCTAAATCCTCCCCACCAGCTCCCTTCTGTCCCCACCCTCCCTCAGAGGAGGGTGAGTCGCTGTCCCAGCTCCAGCCCATGACAGTGGACTCCAGGCTCCGGGGTGCACATGGACCCCGCCACCCCTGGCAGTACCATTGCCGAGGGCACGGTGGTCACCAGGAGGGTGCAAATGCTCCACCTGGTTACCCTTCTGGGGATCTTGCTCAGGTTGCAAGAATCCTGGCCATTCACATGGGTGGATGAACTACCCACGTGGTTGCCCCCACAGTGCTGCAGTCATGGCTCCCCACACAACCAGACACAGGACCCCTGGGGGAAACTGAGGCACGGCCTTCTCAGCCTCTGGATCTCACCCTCATGGGGGACAGGAAAATGGGCCAGTCCCTGAAGTCAGTGCCCACAGGCTAAGCTAAGTGTGGGGTTCATAAAAATGTGGGCTGCTTTCAAAAGCTGTGCCGGGGTGGGGGTGGGGGAGCGGTTTGCCCAGGGCCGGTGGGTGTGGTTCTGCTTCCCCAACCATCAGAGGCCGCACTTTCGCCATCTGCCATCAGGTGGCAACCAATGGTCTGCTTTGGATTCTGTGCATCCCACTCAAAACATAAAAACAAAATAGAAATAGTAATAAATAACTAAAACCCATCTTGGTTTCCAGGGACTCCACCCTATGGTTTCAGGCTCTGAGCCTGGAGATGCAGAAGGGGCTGTGTCACATGTCACCCGTGTGTGTGTGATTATACATGTACAGCTTGGGGTGTCCCTGGGCCATAAGGGGACAGTGGGCAGGCTATTGGGTTCTAGAAATGCCTCTGGGTCCAGACCCCAGCTCTGCTCCTGCTGGCTGTTTGGGGAGGAAGCAGGGAGGGTTGTGTGGGAGTGTTCAATCACCAGTCTTTCTAAGGACACCATGGTGACCTCAGCCAGGGCCACTGTCACCATCAGAAGGGTCCTGAATCTCCCAGGAGCTCGGTCACTGGTTGGAAGCACCATGAGAAGCATGGCCTGGGCACAAACATGATGATGGAAGTCGGAGATCTGAGATCTGCATTTGCAAGAGCACCATAAACAGAGATGGGAGAACCGTCAGCGTGGAATGAGAGCATGGACCTCAGTGTAGTCAGAGAATGTGGGATGTTAGTGTAGACAGACATAGGGAGCATCCAGTGAGGATCGGGGAATGTGGAATACCCAGTGAGGACACAGAATGTGGATTCACCCAGTAGAGGATAGAGAATGAGGAACGTCCAATGTAGCACAGACAACATGGCACATCCAGTGTGGAACAGAGTGGGGAACATCCAATGCAGGACAGAGACGTTGAGCAATGAAGATGAAGTACATGAACCAAGAGAAGACATTGGCATTTGTTCAGCATAAATGGGAGCCATGGATGGTTGTGAGCAGAGGAGGGACATGGTCTGGCTCAAGTGTTAACAGGGGCCCTCTAGCTGCTCAAGGGCAAACAGACTGTGGGGCATGGGGTAGGGGATGGGGGATGGCAGCCACAGGAGGCCAGGGAGGAAGGGGACTGCAGGTGAGAGATGATAGAGGCTGGACTGGGTGGAGGCTGTGAAGCCAGGCGGGAGTGTGATTAAACTTGTAAGGTGACAGATCAAGTGTGGGGCAGAAGAGGAGTCAAGGCCAACTCCAGAATTTGTGGATAAGCACGTGGAGGATGGAGCTGCCTTTTCTGCAATGGGGAGGCTGCAGAGGGAAGATGTGGAGCTCCTGGGGCTGGGCTTTGGTGAGTTGCCTGTGGTTCTCCACATGGGGGTGCTGTGACACCTGGACTCATAAGCCTCGTGCCCAGAGGAGAAGACAGGATGTGAAGTAGAAATTTGGGCCTCTGGGAACCTCAGTATCTTCATCAATTCAGTGGAGACGATTGTCCAGCCACCTCAGCCTGCTGGAGGGAGCATATGAGTCAGTCGCCCCTTCCCTAGCCTAGTGCACAGTGGGCCTGCAGCAAATGCTTTTCTTTCTTGGTCTCCCTTCTCTGACACCCTCTCTAAATCCCAGCTTCCCTGGATCCCATCTGTATACTGTAGCCCTGAGGGGCATCTCATGGCCCCCATGTGGGTCCTGAAAAATCCCAGTGACCCTCACTCCTGCTGTCACTCACCCTCTCTCAAGGGGGTATTCTGAATCTAGAGGACCGAAGTCACCGTGAATCCCCTGCAAACAGACATCTACATATGCTTATAAACAAAGAAACACCACAGAGACGAGGCAATCAACTACACGGGCCCCACCCACAGCTCCCATCCCATAAAGATCCTCCGACATCGTGGCACCCACATACACGTCCACACTCAGGCAGACACATTTATCCATACAAACACAGATGGCAAAACTTAGGCACCTATGCTAGAAGCCCTTTCCTCCAAGCCTTGAAACAGAAAACATCAGAACATCAGATTCCTGAGGCTGACATTTGGTCCTTGATCCAGCCATGACTGAAGCTGACACTACTTCTAGAGTTTTCTGTTACATAAGCCAAAATTTTCCCTTTCTTGCTGGAGCTCATTTGAGTTGGCGTTTTTTGTTTGTTTGTCTCCAGAGTCCTGTCTGTAGAGATGAATAAGACTTTTGCCAGGTGAAAAAGTTGAAGAAGGAGTTGTTTCAAGATGGAAGGCAGCATTTACAGAGGCTTGGAAGTATGATAGCATGGCTGGTGGCAAGCTTAGGAGTCTAGTCAGTGGGAGTCATTGAATGTCCTTGATCAGGGTAGTTCCACGCTCAGAACTACCCAGCGGGAGAGAGTGCATGGATAGATGAATGTAGTCGCTACAGACCTGCGAGCCAGGTGCAGGTGAGGAGACTGAACCTCGGAGAGGGCAGCCACACAGGGGTCCCAGAGACAGTCCTGACCCAACTACAGTCTGAGCTTGTCGAGCGTCTTCCAACTACAATTTCCGGCATGCAACGCGAGCGATCCCTTGTCCCTCGTGATTTGCCCCAGCTCCAAGCCTGATGATTGGTCGCACGGGCTGCTTGTCAGACCAGGGTCGGGCTCTGACTGGTCGAGTTCCCACGAAGCGCCCTGAGCCCTAGGCCCGTGGGTTCGCGCACCGCGCTCCTGCGGCCGACATGGTGAGCCGGCGGCTGCGGCGTGGGGGCCCCTCAGGGGCCGGGGGCGTCTGGGGAGACGCCGAAGGGACGGGGGTCCCTTTGTGGGGATTGAGGGCTCGGAGGGACTCGGGGTCGCGCTGAGGACCGTGTGTCTCTCTTTGGGGTCAGAGTCTCGCAGCAGGACCTGTGAGGGTCCGGGGGTCGAGCCGCCGGGACTGGAACCGCCTGAGCATTCTGGGGCTCTGGCAAGTCTCTCAGGACCCTCTAGGACCTGAGGTCCTGCCGAGGGGTAGTGGCACCGCGGAGCGGATAGGGACCCGAGCATGTTCGTCCCTCGCGAGGGAGATCTGGGGACTCTGCGGACCAGGGTCCTGCGGAAGCGTAGTCCATCGAGGGTATCGGGGCGCGTGGACGGGCCAGGGAGCCCTGAGAGGAGGCGCCAGGCCCCGGGATCGGGGTGGCTCAGGGAGCGCGAAGGTCCCGGAATTGCAGACAGCACGGTTGAAACCCTCAGGTCTCACGCGGCTCCGGGTCCAACCCCTTGAGTCAGTTCTTCCAACTTCGCCCGGCCCCTCGTGGGGAGGCTGGTGCGGGGCGAGGGCGGGGACCCCAGCCCCGAGGGGTTCGGACTGGGCAGAGGAAGGGGCAGCCTGAAGGGGACTGGAAGGCGGCCTCACCCTGCCTGGGGCGGGGGGAGGGGTTCCCCGAGGAGGGGCGTTGGCGGAGGGCCTGAAGGAAGAGAGTTGATGGAGGGGTGCTTGGAAGTGGGGGTCGTTCCCGGCCGGGGTGCGGGTCTCGGTGGGAGAGGAGGGAAGGGCTCTCGGGAACAGGATGGAGGAAAGTCGCATTGACGTGAATTAGTAGGATTCTCAGACTCTCGGGTCAAAGATCCGGGGAAAGGCTTTGAGCAGAGGAGGACCGTGGCCTGATGGGAGGCTCCAGAAGATCTTTGGAGATCTGCAGAGCGTGGACCCCAAGCCTGGAGGCTGCTGGGTCGCGGGACTTGAGAAACATGCCTGGGCGGACTTTGGGAGCTTTAGGTGGAGGGACGCGTGCCTTTTTTCCCTCCTTCCTTTCCATTGCCTTGCTTTCCTCCTCTTTCCATTCTTCTTTCCTTTCCTTCCTCCTTCCCTCTCTCCCTCCGTCGGTCCAACCTGACGTAGGGATGGGCGGTTGCTGGGGCTTCCCGGGAAGGGCGTGGAGGAGGCACGGTCGGCGAGCTCGGCAGAGAGGTCTGGGCTGGAGGTGCCCGTGTGCTGGGCCAGGTCGGTGGTTAAAACCCTGGCAGAGGATGCGGTCACAAGGGGAGAGGCTCCCCAGGCTCTAAAGTTTGGAGAGCGGCTAGTGGAAGGCGCTGGGGGGCGGCGGAGGAGGGGTCCTAGGAGGAATGGCGGGCCGCGGACCCCGCGGCACACTGGGTTTGGAGGGGCCCACGGTCCCTGGTCATTGGTGCCCGCCAGCCAATCTGCACTTGGGGGTTGGAGAAGGTAAGCAGTGAGACTAGGAGACTGGTGAGACCTCCCAACCCCGTTATTGAAAACATATTCTAGTCTCGGTTTACGAGGCTCAGGCATAGAGAGAATATCCTGTTAGAGGGTTATTTGAAGGGTAAATTTCTCAGCAGTCATTCTGAATTACAGTGCTAGGTCGATATCCATCACACCAGAGCTTTTCCCATTAAAGTTAGCTTATTCTTGCCTGATTAAAAAATAATTTTAATAATTAATTTTAATATTAATCTTTATTTAATTTTAGTTGTTAATTATAATACCATAATACCCGTAGGCAGCTCTCCTGAGCACATAATATTACATAATTACTGATGGCAAATGGGTATTTCCTGCATTCAAGCAGGTAAACCCAGCTTCATGTTCAGACTGATTACCAAAATCATTTCTTCCAAAACTTTTTAAAGTAGGTATATGAAAACGTGTTGTGAATTGTTGTTTAAAAGGCCATTACACAGAACTTGGTGAGAAAATTCCTAATTAACAAACAGTTATCCCAGGGCCAGCCCTGATGGCCTAGTGGTTAAGTTTGGTGCGCTCTGCTTCAGCAGCTGCATTTGGTTCTGGGGGCAGCTGCACACCACTGGTCTGTCAGTGGTCATGCTGTGGCAGGGGCTCACATACAAAAAGAGAAAGACTGGCAATGGATGTTAGCTCAGGGCAAATCTTCCTCAGCAAAAAAAAAAAAAAAAAAAAAAAAAGTCATTCCACTCAAATATCTTGCTCCTGAAACAGGCAGTGGCCAGAAATAGATGCTTTCCAAGGAGGTTGATTACAAAAGGAGGGAGAGGAGGAGAGGGTGATGGAGCCCCCAGGCATAATTTAAGACGGGAAAGACTTTGGGGGACCCAGCCGCCAGGGTGAAGGTTGAAGCTTGAAGCTCACCAGAGACAGTTGGTGCGTGGGTGGGACAGTAGGAGAGAAGCCGCTTTCCCTGGGTGTGCCAAGCTCCTCCTCCATGGGGAGGGTGGTAGTGAGGGTACAGGAAACAGAAGAGGAAGCACCCCATTTCCAGATGAGGAAACCGAGGCTCAGGGAGATTAATACCTGAAATCCATAGCAGAGGCTGGAGGGGAACCCCAGTCTCTGCTCCAGTGCCTGCCCTGCACCACCCTACACCCCAGCCAGGTCGAGGTGGTGGGGGGATCCGCCCTCAGCAGGGGCTCCCAGGGTTGGGTCCAAGCTCATCCCAGGCCTCTTCTCCAAGATGCAGCCTGAGCCGGGAAGGGCCCTCCCTCCCCCACCTGCCCCCTGGCGTCTCTATAAATAGCCCGGCTTCGGCTTCGGAAGGAGTGAGCTTGTCACCCTCTGGCAGGCACTGCCCTTCATATCCCCTCCCCCCAGGCCGTCCTCGGAGTGCAGCTGGTGGTGACCCTGCTCACCGCCACCCTCATGCACAGGCTGGCGCCGCACTGCTCCTTCGCGCGCTGGCTGCTCTGCGATGGCAGGTGAGCCGCAGGAGCCGCAGCCCTTCGCGGGCAGAGGGAGGGGCCCACAGACCCCCGCCTCCGCTTCCCCCAGCCGCCTCGCCCTGCATGGCATTTTTGTTGTTTTTTAACACAACTTTATTGAGACGTAATTGGTGTACAATCAACTGCGAATATTTGAAGCGCACAGTTGGATCAGTGCTGACAGATGTACACCCGTGAAACTGTCCCCTCCCTGGGAAGAGCAGCTGCTTCCCCGACTCCTGCCTGCCTGTAATCCAACCCCCTTCCACCCGCCTCTCCCTGCGATCCTTTCCCGCCATGCTTTTTGTCCCCGGTTGGGTCTCAGCTGCTTCCTGAGAGCTGGTGGAACGAACTCTCTCCCCAGGACAGTGCCACACCTGCTCGGCTAAGAGAGTTAGCCAGCACATTCAGGGGTGTCCAGCACCCCCCTGCACGCCCCCAGCCAACCCCAGCCCACCTCCCGTGCCTTCAATGGCCCCTGCCCATCCTGTCCCCAGCCGTTTCAGAGCCAGCCCTCCCTCTGACTCCAGTCCCAGATATTGGGGCTCACTGCCTTGACCCACCATGCCCCAGCTGTCCTGACTGCCTGTCTTTGCCCTCAGTCTCTTCCGATACAAGCACCCATCCGATGAAGAGCTTCGCGCCCTGGTGGGGAAGCAGAGACCCCGAGGCAGGAAGGAGCGGTGAGTGAGCCCCAGCCTTCGGGGAGTGGCTGGGGGTGGGGTGGGGCAGCACCTGGGAGAATCAGGACACCCAAGGAGGAGGAGAGGGGCACCGGCATTCATTGGTTGCCTCCAGTCAGCATCTAATGCTTATTGGAATGTGCTCTGGGCCAGCCTTGTGGGCAACTGGTGCTAGCACCCTGGAGTGCAGAGGAGACCCAGGCTAGGGGAGAAGGTGTCTCTTGGGCCAGCTCCTTCTGTGCTGGGGTGCTGGGGTTGTGTGGCCTGCCATGCCTGACTGGGGGAGGAGGAACCGGGAGATGCTGCTCTGACACCCTCCCCACCAGGTGGGCCAATGGCTATAGTGAGGAGAAGCCGCTGTCTGTGCCCCGAGATGCCCCTTTCCAGCTGGAGACCTGCCCCCTCACAGCCGTCGATGCCCTCGGTAACAGGCCCACTGGGTCCCCAACTCCCCTCTCGGCCCACACCCTAATGGGATGAGATGGGGCAGGGAGCGGCCTGGGCGGATGGCCAGCACTGAGCAGCTTGTCCATGCAGTCCTGCGCTTCTTCCTGGAGTACCAGTGGTTCGTGGACTTCGCTGTGTACTCGGGAGGCGTGTACCTCTTCACAGAGGCCTACTACTACGTGCTGGGCTCGGCCAAGGAGACCAACATCGCTGTGTTCTGGTGTTTGCTCACCGTTGCCTTCTCCGTGTATCCTTCCTCCAGGCTCCCTGGGTGGGGCAGGGGGAGGCATGTGGGAGCCGGATCTGAAGTCCCCTGTCTCCCCCTAAACTGGTATATCAGTTACTGACTGCTGTGCCACAAACCTCTGCAATCTTGTTGGGATAAAGCAGCCGCTTTGCATTGGCTCTGGCTTTGGGCTGGGCTCAGCTGGGTCGGCTAGTCTCCATTCCATTCCATGTGGTCCAGCCATCCAGCAGGCTAGCCCCAGCTTCCTCACTGCAGGAGCAGAAAGGCCAGCAAGGAAAAGGAGCCTCTGCAGGCCACCTGAGTCTTTGCCCAAAGTCAGCCACCCCATCCTTGTCCATTCTTTTGGTCAAAGTAAGTCACCAAGCAGCCCAGATGGAGAGGCTGGAAAAGAGAAGGCCCATTCTGCAACTTTTAATTAAGCTGCTTGGAGAGCAGAGGCAAACTGATGACTTTGAGGACCCTAGCCAGGGAAAATGTCGTGGAATGGGCTTGTGAAGAAGCGAAGCCTATCTTGATGCCCACACTGGTTCTGGAAAGCCCCATGGGTCTCTTTTGGGGCAGACTCTCAGGTACAGCCTGTATTTATGATAGTGTCTCAGAGGAACAGGAAATTCACCTGCTGTGAATGCCGCCAGGAGACTAGGTGGGTCAGGCAGGCGGGACCCCTAGGAGACAGACTTGGTGGCCATTTCTAACTGGCCACACGTAGTATGATGAATCAAGCTGGAGGCCCAGGCACACCTGCCCCTGCACACCCCCATGCCAGTGACACAGGTGTGAGCAGCCCTGGGTCTTGTCTTCTGGGCTTGTTCAGTGGCTCACTCTCCTTCATCACTAACTTGCTCCCTGGGACTTCAAACCCAAACTCTGGTATTTGTGGTCCGGAGTTGAGGGATCACTGGCCGGGGGTGGGGGGGGGGCAGGGGCGGGGTGGGGAGAACAGGGGAGGGGCACTACAGGCGCTCAAGGCCTCCTTAGCCCCGTCCCCAGCAAGGTGTTCCTGACCGTGACCCGGCTGTACTTCAGTGCGGAGGAGGGGGGTGAGCGCTCCGTCTGCCTCACCTTCGCCTTCCTCTTCCTGCTCCTGGCCATGCTGGTGCAGGTGGTGCGGGAGGAGACCCTCGAGCTGGGCCTGGAGCCAGGTACGTGCAGTGGGGGGCCTGGGGTTGACACCTCCATCACTCCCTCGTGTAAGCTGTCGAGGGTGGGGTTTAAGTGGCTTGTTCCACATAGTAGGTGAAGGAGGGGGCTTCTGGGGCCCGAGCAGTCTCCATGGGTGCTTGCTACCCTGGTTGCCTCCTTGGGCTTTGGGGATGAGAGGACACCCTGTCTCACTGTTTCTGATGGACGCCTGCGGCTGCAGCTCGTCACCTGGGCACGTCCGTTCCCTCCAGTTGCTGTCTACCCGGCAGCCACAGTGACTTAATATTTACCTATTCTAATTTAATTTGGGGAGGAAATAGGTAAATGGTATAAAATTCATAAAGTATAAGAAGACACACAGTAAAAATCACCCTTCCACACTGGTCCTCTTCCCCAGAGGAAACCTAGGGTCCCACTTCCTTTATTCATGTAAAACAGTAGTGCATATGGCTCTACACCTTGTCTTTTTCCCTTAAAAACAATAAATATTGGAAGTTGTCCCTTGACACTACATACAGTGCCATTTTTTGTAACAGCTACGTGATATTTCATTTTATGGATGTTCTATGATTATTTAACCAGGTCACTATTTATGGATATCTAACTCTTTTGTTATCAAATATTGTTACACAAAACCAAGCTGTTACACAACCGTGTTGTATGGGAACAGCCTTGTGCATGTGGCCCTGTGCAAGAAAGTGCATTTGTAATTTTGATAATGTTGCAAATTGCCCTTCAGGAAAAAATGTATGAACGTGCCTGTTCCCCCCTCATCCTCTCCAATGTGTTTGCTCAGGCTTTTCCATCTTGGGTGATCTGATGGGTAAAAATGTAAGTGAGGTTGAGCATCTTTTCATATGTTGTAGAGCCATTTCTATCTCCCTTTCAGAGCTATTATTTTACCCACTTTTCTACTGGGTTCTTGACCCTTTTATTGATTTGTAGGAGGTCTTTATATATTAAGGAAACTAGCCTTTGTATGGGATAGGAATTGCAACTATTTTTTATTAGTTTCCCATTTTTCTTTTGACTTTTTCTATTCCTTGAATGACCTTTTAAAAACGTAATTTGGATCACATCACTCCTCTGCCTGACACCAGACTCCAGTGGTCTTTGGATAAAGACCAAAATCCTCACCATGGCCCATATAACTCTGCTGACTCCTAGAGTTTATCTTTCCAGTTCTCCCCACTTTTCAATTTTTAAAATTATAAAATGTTTGATATATACAAAAGAACGTATATATGTAAATTACACAGCAAAATAATAATATAAACACCCATGAACCCATCTCTCAAATAAGAACTAGAACATTCCCAATGCTCCTGTAGCATGTCGCTGTGCAACCTCCTTGATCCCACTGCCTTCCTCTCCTACTCCCAACCCAACCAGTTTCTCAAATTTTGTGTTTACCATTCCTTTGCCTTTTTTTTTTAACTTTTTATCAAGATTATGATAGTTTACAACCTTGTGAACTTTCATTTGTACATTATTATTAGTCATGTTGTAGGTGCACCACTTCACTCTTTGTGCCCTCCCCCCACTCCCCCTTTCCCCTGGTAACCACCAATCAGTTCTCTTTGTCTCTATGTTTAACTTCCACCTATGAGTTGAGTCATACAGAGTTCGTCTTTCTCTATCTGGCGTATTTCACTTAACATAATACCCTCAAGGTCCATCCATGTTGTTGTGAATGGGACGATTTTATCTTTTTTTATGGCTGAGTAGTATTCCATTGTATATATATATACCACATCTTCTTTATCCACTCATCACTTGATGGGCACTTAGGTTGCTTCCACATCTTGGCTATTGTAAATAATGCTGCAATGAACATAGTGGTGCATAGGACTTTTGGAATTGCTGATTTCAAGTTCTTTGGATATATACCCAGTAGTAGGATGGCTGGGTCATAAGGTATTTCTATTTTTAATTTTTTGAGAAATCTCCATACTGTTTTCCATAGTGGCTGCACCAGTTTGCATTCCCACCAGCAGTGTGTGAGGGTTCCTTTTTCTCCACAACCTCTCCAACATTTGTCACTTTTTGTTTTGGATATTTTTGCCATTCTAACAGGTGTAAGGTGATATCTTAGTGTAGTTTTGATTTGCATTTCCCTGATGATTAGTAATGATGAGCATCTTTTCATGTGTCTATTGGCCATCCGTATATCTTCTTGGGAGAAATGTCTGTTCATGTCCCTGCCCATTTTTTGATCGAGTTGTTTGATTTTTTGTTTTTGAGCTGTGTGAGTTCTTTATATATTATGGAGATTAACCCTTTGTCGGATATATAACTTGTAAATATTTTTTCCCAACTAGTGGGTTGTTTTTTTGTTTCAATACTGTTTTCCCTTGCCTTGAAGAAGCTCTTTAGTCTGATGAAGTCCCATTTGTTTATTCTTTCTATTGTTTCCCTCATCTGAGGAGTTATGGTGTCCAAAAAGATTCTTTTGAAACTGATGTCAAAGAGTGTACTGCCTATATTGTCCTCTAGAAAACTTATTGTTTCAGGTCTAACCTTTAGGTCTTTGATCCATTTTGAGTTTATTTTTGTGAATGGTGAAAAAGAATGGTCAATTTTCATTGTTTTACATGTGGCTGTCCAGTTTTCCCAGCACCATTTTTTGAAGAGACTTTCTTTTCTCCATTGTATGCTCTCAGATCCTTTGTCGAAGATTAGCTGTCCGTAGATGTGTGGTTTTATTTCTGGGCTTTCAGTTCTGTTCCATTGATCTGTGCACCTGTTTTTGTACCAGTACCATGCTGTTTTGATTACTGTAGCTTTGTAGTATGCTTTGAAGTCAGGGATTGTGATGCCTCCGGTTTTGTTCTTTTTTCTCAGGATTGCTTTAGCAATTTGGGGTCTTTTGTTGCCCCATATGAATTTTAGGATTCTTTGTTCAATTTCTGTGAAGAATGTTCTTGGGATTCTGATTGGGATAGCATTGAATCTGTAGATTGCTTTAGGTAGTATGGACATTTTAACTATGTTTATTCTTCCAATCCATGTGCATGGAATGTCTTTCCATCTCTTTATGTCATCATCAATTTCTTTCAGGAAAGTCATGTAGTTTTCATTGTATAGGTCTTTCATTTCCTTGGTTAAATTTACCCTAAGGTATTTTATTCTTTTTGTTGCGATTCTGAATGGGATTGAGTTCCTGAGTTCTTTTTCTGTTAGTTCGTTATTAGAGTATAGAAATGCTACTGATTTATGTATGTTAATTTTATACCCTGCAACTTTGCTGTAGCTGGTGATTATTTCTAATAGTTTTCCTATGGATTCTTTGGGGTTTTCTATATATAAGATCATGTCGTCTGCAAACAGCGAGAGTTTCACTTCTTCATTGCTATTTGGATTCCTTTTATTTCTTTTTCTTGCAGAATTGCTCTGGCCAGGATCATGTCGTCTGCAAACAGCGAGAGTTTCACTTCTTCATTGCTATTTGGATTCCTTTTATTTCTTTTTCTTGCAGAATTGCTCTGGCCAGGATCATGTCGTCTGCAAACAGCGAGAGTTTCACTTCTTCATTGCTATTTGGATTCCTTTTATTTCTTTTTCTTGCAGAATTGCTCTGGCCAGGACCTCCAGTACTATGTTGAATAAGAGTGGTGATAGTGGACACCCTTGTCTTGTTCCTGTTCTCAGAGGGATGGCTTTCAGTTTTAGCCCATTGAGTATGATGTTGGCTGTGGGTTTGTCATATATGGCCTTTATTATGTTGAGGTACTTTCCTTCTATTCCCATTTTATTGAGAGTTTTTATCATAAATGGCTATTGGATCTTGTCAAATGCTTTCTCTGCATCTATTGAGATGATCATGTGGTTTTTGTTTCTCATTTTGTTAATGTAGTGTATCACGTTGATTGACTTGCGGATGTTGAACCATCCCTGTGTCCCTGGTATAAATCCCACTTGATCATGGTGTATAATCTTTTTAATGTATTGCTGTATTCGGTTTGCCAGAATTTTGTTGAGGATTTTTGCATCTATGTTCATCAGTGATATTGGCCTGTAGTTTTCCTTCTTTGTGTTGTCCTTGTCAGGTTTGGGGATCAGGGTGATGTTGGCTTCATAGAATATGTTAGGGAGTGCTCCACCTTCCTCAGTTTTCTGGAATAGTTTGAGAAGGATAGGTGTTAAACTTCTTTGAATGTTTGGTAGAATTCTCCAAAGAAGCCGTCTGGTCCTGGACTTTTATTTTTGGGGAGGTTTTTGATTTACGGTTTCAATTTCTTTACTTGTGATTCGTCTATTCAGATTCTCTGTTTCCTCCTGATTCGGTTTTGGGAGGTTGTAAGAGTCTAAGAATTTATCCATTTCTTCTAGGTTGTCCGATTTGTTGGCATATAGTTATTCATAGTATTCTCTTATGATCCTTTGTATTTCTGTGGTATCTGTTCTGATTTCTCCTCTCTCATTTCTAATTTTATTTATTTGAGATTTCTCTCTTTTTTTCTTAGTGAGTCTGGCTAAGGGTTTGTCAATTTTGTTAATTTTTTCGAAGAACCAACTCTTTGTTTCATTGATCCTTTCTACTGTCTTTTTTGTTTCCATATTGTTTATTTCTGGTCTAATTTTTATTATTTCCCTCCTTCTGCTGACTTTGGGCTTTCTTTGTTCCTCTTTTTCTAATTCTGTTAGGTGTCGTTTGAGATTGCTTATCTGAGATTTTTCTTGTTTACTGAGGTGAGCCTGTATTGCAATGAATTTCCCTCTTAGGACCGCTTTTGCTGCATCCCAAATGAGTTGATATGGTGTGTTTTCATTTTCATTTGTCTCCAGATAATATTTGATTTCTTCTTTAATTTTTTCAATAATCCATTGTTTGTTCAGTAGCATGTTGTTTAGTCTCCACATTTTTGCCCCATTCCCAGCTTTATTCTTGTAGTTGATTTCTAGTTTCATAGCATTATGATCAGAAAAGATGCTTGATATTATTTCAATCCTCTTGAATTTATTGAGGCTTGCTTTGTTTCCCAAGATATGGTCTATC